GGGGGCTGGAATTGTCACAATTTTGTTAAACTAGTTTGCTAAAAAAATTAGTTAAAATTTGGGTATTAAGTTTACCGCTCTAAACAATACTTGCATAATGCTGAATTACAACCATTCCTAACCTTTTTGTTTAACTTTAGTCTTGAGCCAAAAATGAACCAAAGTCTTAAGTCTGTGCCTTAATTGCATTTCAATGGGGAGGGTTAGGATTAATCTCTGAAGGAGCATCCCAAAAAGGAATGTCCCAGAGGGATTGGACAATTTCTGGCATCACCTGGTTGTATGGCGACTCTCGTTGTGACATGTCAACAAACATTTTGGGGATAGGAAAAGTTTAACTGGCTTCACATTGAAATGCAAATAGTTTTGCTAATGGTATTAATCAGAGATTAAATCCTCAGTAATACTTATTTTTTTTACTAATATACATTACTGGGTAAAAATGCAGAATGATGCCAATCTCAAGCGGCCTTTACACTTTTTAAATCTTAAAATATAAGAGTAGATATGTTCATCTATCATCTGGTTCACATGCCTCCCCAGTCAACTTATAGCTTAAAATTTTCTAGACAAACATTTCTTGACCTTGGTTTCTTATTTTCATGTTTCCATCGATAATTTGATAGCTGAATGTGTTGACAGGTTTAGTATGGTGCGTCAAACAAAATTGACATAAGTGTTTTGTTTCTTATAATAATTTAAAATAATATAAATTTCTTACATCGAGTTAAATCTCTTTTGTTATTTAATAGCTAAGATAATGATTAATAATTTTATTAATTAATATTACATTATTACATTCTTAATTTAATATCTGAGATAATAACTAATAAAATTATTATTATATTAATAATTAAAATATCTGTTATTGTTTAAATTGATAAATGGGATAATTTTATTATCTCAATTTAATTTTTAATTTATAAACTGAGAGTGAAATAAGACCTTTTATTTGTTAAGGGGCTTTCCCCATAGAGGAGACAAGCCTTGAAACACATGACCTTTTAACCATTATGTCAATTATGAGATATACTAAAAAAAAAAAAATATAACATTTTGACATACACACGCACAAAAAAGTATTTAATTATGATAGTTTTGGTAGCATTATTTGTATTAAGTTTTTAATTTTGCGCTTAGTAAATATAATCTTCACTTAAAATCTTAACCTACCCCACATTCTGTTTGGAAGAATTTTAAAACGTTTTTTAAAATTGAAGAAAAAAGAAAAATGCAAACAATTCTTTATTCATTGAAAATTTTTTTTATTCAGATAATAATGACCTTAATGTATATTATTTATAAAAGCAAATAAAAGCCTATCTACTTTGATAATTAGATAGTTTTATTGCAGATTTTTAAAAAGTTGGAAGTAGACGTGAAAAAAAAAATTGATTTAATTTCTCCTGCTTATAATTTGCAAATTGTTTGAAATTCTAAAAAATTTCATAAAATTAATTTATTTTAACATGCAAAAAAAGAAAATATTTTTACCAAGATTTTCTAAAAATAAAAATTTAAAAAAAATCAAACAATTATTTGATTTTTTTTTGCAAGAACTTACAATTTAAAGGGTTTCCCCTTAAAAACTGCTACACTAAAATGGCCAATACCACATGCCAAAGTCGACCAAAAAAAAAAAAAAATTTTTTTGACCCAAATTTAGAACGTATTATGGGAATTTAAAAGAATTTTTTTTTTTCTTTCTTTCATATTGTTAAATATTTGAGCTTAACAACTTTAACAAAATATTGCAATAACAACTATAAATGTGAATGTTGATTGTAATTTTAAGAAGTAAGGGGGTACAAATGAAGATTTAAAATTCACAATTTTTTCCATTTCACTGAAACAAACATTAAACACTTCTATCTTCCCTGCTTTTTTTTTTCTTTCACTTTCTCTCTGAAACCAAGTAGTGTAACATTTTTCTATTCAATCAAAATTTATTGTCTTTTTGTTACTTTAGACCACTTCTTTTTGTCCTGATTCTGCCATCCATTTACAAACTTATACAGGTTACTTTAAAGGCATTTGACAGGGTTTCGCACCCTGGTTTTCTTCACAAATTGAAAGGTCACTGTATTTCTGGACAGATTTTTGATCTGATTCAAACTTAGGAAATTGTCAAATGAAAATTCTCTTGAATGGGTGACTCTTCTAGATCTTTTTGCATTAATGGGACTCTTGGGATTCTGTCCTTAAACCAATATTGTTCCTTATTTTTCATCAGCAACCTTTCTGGTGTTATTAGTTCACAACTTAATATCTATGCTGATGACACAACTATTTACTCCTGTCTTAATTGTAAGTCTGATTGGTTTGATAATGTCAAATTGCCATCTGAACTAAAAAAAAAAAAAAAAAAAAATGACCTTCAGTCTGTTAACTGGAGCAAGAAATGGTTTGTTAATTTTAAAGCTTACAAAATTTTTACCTCCAGGAAAGTGATTCCTTGTGTCTTCTCAGGCTAAGATTTTCTGCTGACATGTAGTGGAAGGATTATATTGAATCAGTTGCTCGTTCTCTTGCTAGGAAAGTTTGACTTCCTGTGCTGTGTTAGACAATTTTTCTTGTCAGAATCCATCTTGCACGTTTATAAGTCTACCATTTGTCCATGCATTGAATATTGCTGTCACATCTCGTCTGGTGCTTCTGCTATATATTTAGAGATTCTCAATAAAATGCAAAGAATTTGTAATGTTATTGGTCCTGACCTGACATCTTGGCTTCAGTCACTTTCCCCACCACCTAACACAGCTTCCCCCATGCCTTTTCTATAACAATTTTCTTAGTAATTGTTCTGACAAGCTTTCCTCTTTGGTACCTAGACTTACTGAATTTAAAGTGCAGTACTAGATGATAGGCAAGGTGTCATCGTTTTACAGTTGAAATTGCTTGATGTAACCGTAAGTTCTATGCTGACAGTTTCTTCTGTCATATGTGGGGAGCTCTCTTCTGGTTTCTTGCTTCCCTGTTAACTTTGACACTGCATTTAAATTTTTGAAGATCAATCATTATCTTGTCTTAATTCCTGTTTTCTTGTTCATGTTTTCTTTTGCTCATGTTTCTCACCCTTTGCATCTTAGTGTCTTTATTGCCTTGTTTGGGTGAAAATAATAAAAAAAAAAAAAATTTTTTTGCTTTCAATATATCCTATAATTTTTTATTTCTCCAAGCACTCTTTCCTCATTATCAGAAATTTTGACCCTTTTTTTGATCATAAGCATGTTTAGTAGTTTAAAAAAAATTCTTTCACAAGTTTTCATTGTTTTTGTTTACCTCATGTTCAAGAAATGTCCTTTCATCTAGGTTTCAGATGTGCACATAAATTAATGTATATCAATAGTGTAATGATATGCTTAATTAGTTCCAAGCATAATTAATGACTTTAACTCTAAGAATATTTTCATGAAAACTGGTGGGTGGGGGTGCTCTTCTCTCTCTGAGTTCATTTTAAATGTTAAAAAGGTATGCCCAAATAAAGACTTGTCACCTGTATATGATTTAAATCTTTTCAGGATTTTAATAAACTCTGCTTAAAGATGACAACTCTACAGCAATTTTTTGACAAAGAAAATGTTGGTGCCAGTTCATCTGTGAAGAATCGTGTTGGTAAGGATTTGTGATAGTTTTCTTTTATAGAAACCCATTCCTCATTACACTCGTTGAAGCATGCTGGGTAATTGATCAGTTGTAACTGGGTCACTCAAGGTGATGTCATATAAACAGTCAAACTGAAATATATATATTAGTCATCCACATACAAGCCTGTTTTGCTGTATCACAGCTAATCAGTGTGGCTAGACATCTCTTTGCTTCAAGCCAGGATTGAAAACCAACCAATTTGGTATCAGTTGGAGATCCTACCTCACTAACATTGTACTAATAATTTTTTTTATTTTTACGACTTATTTCATAAAAATCTTTCCACAACCATACTTACCTCTCCTTAAATGGTGTCAGCGATCATACACTGTGTTTTTCACTCCACAAGTCTGAAATTTAGTTTTCAGATGAACATTACATTTGTCTTGCAATAAACAATACCCTGATGACATTATGCTATGTTGAAAGTACTCAAAATAAAAGTAATATGTATCAACACAGTGATTTTTCTCTTCCTTCAATAATGACACCAAGAAACTTATCTGTGAATATGAAAGGATCCAATTGAAAATAAGTAGGCAGAACATGTCTAAATTATTCAACGAAATGAAAACAATTGCCAGAATATACACACACACACACACACACACACACTAGCTGAATTACCCATGCCTTGCTGTGTGTCACACAATTTTTTGTAAGAATTTGATTTTAAATCATTGTTATAATTTGTGGAGACAAATGATGCCTTACTCAATGATCTTGCTGATGTGACCTCCATCTTCTGGCTTTCTCCTTCTATATTTTGGATAAGTCATTCCCTTGTTCAAGAGGAGCAACATTCTGCTGGAACCACTGTACCTACTCATCAAGGTCATCACGCTCCTTGAGCTCTCCTCCCATCTGAGAGGCTGCTGCTTTGTTTCAACAATTGTGAAACACCGTGTGTGTATAATACTTTGCTTACCACACAGACAACACATGGTTCTTGAAAATGACAGATGGCCAAAATACTTGAAGTACTAGATAAATATTTAACTTTTGGCAATTGATCCATTATTTCGATCCCAATATACAACGCCTTGTTCAAAAATTGGGAAAATAGAATAGAAAATTAAACAGTGTCGGTTGAGTTTAATAAAACTTGGTTTTGATGAATATTTCCTACTAAATATACCTTTTATTATGTACTTCATTTATTTTATTCAGTTAGTGCATTTTGTGCTGCCGTGGTCACCACACCCCCTACATCCCACAATTGTGGTTCATGGGGACCTTCAAGGCAGAATAATGCAATGGCTTGTCAGTTCCTTTTGCACCGGGGATGTTGAGGTTATGCCATCCTTCCTCTCGGAGGTGGATTTGTTTTAAAAGTTTGCTTCAAGCCTTTACCTAAAGAGACAGGACCTACAAGGCAAAAGGGGGTTTGAATTCATTTTCCTTTTAGACTGGTTTCCAACCAAGGCTGTAGGACCTGGTCTGTCCTGCTATTTTACCCATAGCTGAGGCAGAAGAGATTGATTCATACCCAAAAGTATTAGCAATTAAGGTAATGAATTCAAACTCTTTAATCTGAGCCACTGACTATTACTCCAAAAAGAAAAATGTTGGGTTGATCTGAAATTCAAGATTCTATTCTCTTCTTTGTCTTTCAGGTCTGACTGTGAGGAAACAGCAACAAGAGAACGCGTGTCTAGTAACGCCACGACAAGCATTGGGTAACATCAATCGTGACCTTAGTGCGAACAGACTCACTCCATTGTCCAAGAAGTTACCAAAGACACCAAGAACTGTAAAGGTCTTCACAGAAAATCATGAAAACTCTAAACCAAGGAAAGCACTAACAAGCATCTCGGAAAATAAACTGGTACGTTGAGAAAACATTTTTGGTAATTTTTTCTTTTTGCCTTCTGCATGCTTCTGAATTCAGAATTGTCCTTCTCGGCTCGTAGTCTTGTATGACGATAAATTACATCTGGCAGCAAGACCTCTGGTCGAGAGATTGGATGTTTTGAGGATCATATAATCACCTCTTAATTACTGTTGTGCACAGGTCTGCCCTGACCCGGGGTGGTAGCACTTGTCAGGGTCTTGGTTATAAGAAAATAGTGAACTTTCAAAGAAAAACAAAACACTATGAAAGTGTAAAAATAGATTTTTATAATAAAAATACCAGCAATACATTTCTATTTAATAAATTAAAAAGAAAAAGACCAACACTACATAACTATAGTAGAATTACCAACAATATATTTTATCTGTAGTTAAAGGTGTACAATTGCATTCAAAATATTTAGATTTCTGCATTAAATAGCCTAGAGATTGATATGTTGCGAAACAAAATCAACAAGCAGCCGGAAAGAATTTTTGACATTAATCCATATAATATCCTACAATTTCTTAAACGGTGTTCCAAAATATAACTTCAACAAAACAACACAAAACGCACCTCACAACCTCGAGTAATTGTGTCCACTCAAATATAAATGCCAAAAAGTTGAGTATCACCTACCATGTATTCAACTGTGAAAGCAGAATAACCTTTATATTTTTATTCCTTCAAATCTCCCAAGAAAATTATATTACTTCATTAAATGACCCATGCTGAGATGCTGTTAAACAAATCGATCAATCCTAGGCTTGTGCCATCCAAAGCTAGATAGCTCAAGCTATCCTGCTATTTAACCCATAGCTGGGAGGCGTAAAATGTCTCTTCCCCAATGGTATTTGTGTGAAAGTGAATGCAACTGATCGGGATGGATTTTGAACATGGTTTGCAGATTCCACTGTTTGCACCAAGAGATGTTAGACTACCTGCACATTTTTTATTTTTTTATTTTTTTTTTTAAACAATTGAGAATTTTAGAAGTATTTAGTTAAGGTTAATTTGTTGTCCTACCCGGTTAACTAAAGAAACAGGGTGCTCTGTAAATTTCTGAAATGCTAATTACTTCTTTACTTCATTTTAAATACTAGGAGATAAAAAAAAAAACCTGTATAAATATAGATCTTTTGTAAAAGCAAAGTTCTATAAAATGAACTTAAGAAAAGTGTAAGATACTTCAGTTGAATTGTGTGTGTGTATAATCCAGTCTAGATCTGAAAAGACAACAAAAATCCATAAGAATGATGCTTAAATTATTTTCCAATAAATCCTATAAAAATGACCCTTCTTTTTTTATAAACATATGCTTCAAGACGTTATGCAAAATCCTCTGGTGTGGGCCAAAGTCAACCTTAAGACCATACCCATTTTAGCTTTTTTGAAAAAGCTAAAGGATTAAATTTTCGGTTTTGAAAAATACTGTGAAATTTCAAAAATAAATTTTGAAAACGTTACTTCGAATAAATTCTTCCGAGGAAAAAAAATTTGCCATTTTTTTTTTTTTTTTTTTTTTTTTTTACAGAAATTTACACAACTTATTTTTTTTCTTTTTTGAAAATTTTCTAAAAATGCATTTCTGAAGCGAATATCATTTATAGCATAAAATTTTCTTGACCTCTGTGCATTGTTATTGACGGTACGTTTAAAAAAATAATTTGATTTTTGAATGTGTTGATAGGTTTAGTACAGTGCACCAGAATGCTATAATTGTATTTCCTTATTTAATAGCGAAGATAATGATAAATAATTTTATTAATTAATATTACATTAAGTTATTACAATTTTAATTTAATAACTGAACTGAATAAAATTATATTAATAATTAAAATATTTGCCTCAATTATTGTTTAAATTGATAAATGAGATAATTTTATTATCTCAATTTAATTTTTAATTTAATAACTGAGAGTGAGATAAGCTGAAGACCTTTATATGTCAAGAGGCTTTAAGGGGGAGACTAGCCTTGAAATATATGACCCTTTTAACTGTAATGTCACTTATGAGATATACTAAAAACAAAATATAACATTTTGATGCACAAAAAATCTCATGGTAAAATTTTGGTAGCATGATTTGTATTAAACTTTTAATTTTCGCTTAGTAAATATAGTCTTCACTTAAAAACTTAACCTACTGTGTTCTCTTTTTGGAAAAAAATTTAAAACATTTTTTAAAGTTAATGAAAAAACTAAAAAAAAAAATGCAAACAATTCTTGTAGAAATTCTTTATTCTTTGAAAAAATTTTTTTCTTAGGATAATAATGTTCTTAATTTTATTTATAAAAGCAAATAAAAGCCTATCTAATTTGATAATAGTTTATTGCAGTTTTTTATTTTACAATTTGGAGCAGATTTTTAAAAAGTTGGCAGTAGTTGTGAAAAAAAAAAAAATTATTATTTAATTTCTCCAAGGAGTTCTGCTTAGAAGTAATATAAAACAATTTGCGAAAATTTAATAAAATTAAGTTATGGTGGTGGGGTATTATAAAAATTTCAAAAATAAATTCATTCATTTTTGAATAAGTCCTGAAAATTTCATTAAAATCAGACAATTACTTGATTTTTGCAAGAATTTCCAAATTGATGAGGTTTCCCCTGGAAACTGCTACACTAAAATGGCCATTACCACAAGTAGTATGAAGTTGACAAATGATGAAATGATAGAATGATGGAAACTTTTTTAAAACTAATTAAAAAAAGATACTGTGTTCTTTCCTTAAACATTTTGATGGTAAAGCTTTGTTTTTTATTAGGTTTGGGGCCCTTTATCATTATGCTATTCTGATTTTTAGCAAATTATTGGAGGAACCTAATTTTGTGGTTTATGGTAAGTTGTTAGATTTTGAAGAAAAACAACTAGCTTGTGTGTCTCAACAAGCTGTTTAAAGATCACATTTGATAAGTGAAACAAATGGATGGTTAGCCGGGGTGGGGGGGAAGTCACTCAGTGTACCGTTTAAAATATGATTAGGGTGATGGGGAGGAGGTGTCTTGTACAGTGAATATATCCTGAAACCTGGAAGTTTAGATTTATAACTGTATTATATAACTCTGATGTTGTTTGAAATATGTGTGTGTTTGTGTGTGTGTATGTGCACATTTCTCACATTATTTTGTTCCATCTGCTTTTCTCCTTGTATTGTTTGAGAATTTTGTCAATTATTCTTAACTATGGCTAATTTTTCAACAAAATTTAAAATATTTTGCAAATGTTATTCTAGCTTGCGGACATTAAACAAAAGAAAAGTACAGCAGGACCCCTAAGTTTAATTTGTAGCAGCACCTCGTCCCGAAGTACTGTGCATGTTGATGAAATTGAACATATTCACAAGCCACAAGACAAAGAAGGTTTGTACATTTTGTTTTTAATTTTTAAAAATTTTATTTTTCGGCTCTTGGATTTTGAAAGTCTATACTATTTGGATTAATTGTTCATGTCTCGCATTTGATGACACCATTATATTAAGAATTACGTGTAGAAATATGTGATCTAAGATTCTTGTAATGTTCAAAATAATTCAGGATAGGTGGGGAGGATGAAATTAGAATTACCTGAATTAATATCCGGAAGTCTTTTTTAAAGTTTTGCTATTAAGAGAATTCGAAATATTTGGAGACAACAAAAAAAAAAAATATCCTAAAAACTGTACATACTTGTAGGTATAATTTTTTGAGTTGAAATTTTACTGCAAATAGGTCTATTATCATGGGATTAATTCCTTTGTTTGGTTGAAGTCCATGCATAGTAAGGATTATACGCAAGTTGAATATTCACTGGGAGCTAAACAGAATGTCTTATATTATTATCCACTTTGTTGTTTTGTTTTGTTTTTTTTTTTAGTTTTGGTATAGAATCTTTAAATTTGCAAACTAGCAGATGTTTCAATGTGCATTCCTCACCAGGTATATCTTTGACATCCAAGACCAACTTGTTGAAGCTTTTGTGATTTTTACGACTGCCAGAACTGTAGATGAACAGGTGTGGCTCTTTTTAAGAATGGAGTGTTGCCAGTGATCAGATCATTTGCCAAAGCAAACTCCATTTCTCTCTCGGCTTCAGTGTTTTGTACCCCCATAACCACCATGAACCTCAAAGGCACAGGCACTCGCATAACCATTCCAATCTTCAATTGGTATGAGAATCTCCAATAAGGGAAATCCAGCAACCAGGCTGATTGAAAGTTTAATTAATCTGATTGGAAACAAATATTGCTTTTAGTTGAAAATATTGCAGAAAGGGATTTTTTTTTTTTTTTTTTTTTTTTAAAGCAGACAGTGGGTGTTTCTAGTCAGATGTTGACAATTATCTCAATTGACTTGTTTGGAAATTTTTTTTTTCTATGGGAGACGTATCTGTAAAAATTAGTTGAATATAATGTGAGCACCTTTTTATGTCATTAACTGCCCAGTAATCTTTAAAATCTAGGAAAATATTTTCTGATAATACTGTGTCTGAATGTCTGTATTATCAATAATTGGGCACATTTTAAACATGAAAGTATTCAAAATTCTTTTTAAAATACTAGGTGGTGGTCTCAGGTCTCTGAATTGTAACTTTTTTTTTTTTTTTTTTTCATTTATGATTAGTAAATATAGTTTTTAATAATTTCACCTAACTGGTACTAATTAATGCAGAATTTTAAGATTTAAAACTTTATAAATCATTCTAATTAAAAGAAAAAAAATCAAAGCCATTCTTTAAAAAAAAACAAAAACTTAAGACAATATTGTCTTTACTAAATCTTATTCATAAAAGCAGTTAAAAGCTTTTCTAATTAATGTCTTAGTTTTATTGCATTTTTTATCTTATTATTCAGAACAGATTTTTTCCAAAGAAAAACAATTTAAATTCTCCAAGGACTTGTACTTTTAACTAATATAAACATTTAAGCTCTACAAAGTTTAATTTTTTGAAATACCATTAAATTAAATAATTTTGTTTCACAAAAAAAAAAAAAAAAAATTATTTTTACCAAGATTTTTGGGGTGGGGGTAGATCCTAAATTTTATTCATGTGTTAATAAGTCCTCAAAGTTTCATTAAAATCTGACAATTACTTGATTTTTTTTTTTTTTTTTCAAAAAAATAAGAGTTTACAAATAAATGCATTTTTTCACTGCAAAAAACATTCAAAATTTCCCACTGATGCAAGTAAAATTAAAAAATAAAAACTATAATCAAAATTTTGAAAGCCCTAAAAAAATCTTTTTAAGCTTTGGAGATAGTTTTCATAAGAGAACAAACCTAGTTGTTTGTGTGTTTAAGTGTCTTAAGTTCACATTCCTCATGTAATTTTTTTTTTTTTACGCCCATTTTAGATGATTACGAAGATATTTTTCCAAAGAAAGAACGCGTCAGTTCCTATATTGATAAGCTGATCAGTTGGCGACCATCTTGCTTCAAGAAATGGGATGTTGATGAAGAGAGCGAGGATGATAACGAGATGCTCTTAATTGACGATGAATTGCCTGTTATATCCAGGATCACAAGAGGTGAGTGCATGGGTTCAATCTCTAATGTCATCTCTTCATATTGCATTTACAATTATAACAACCTTGATTAGTGGCTTCTGTTACGAGGTCGGAATAAAACAATCTAATCTCCCCAAAGACTATGGCTCCTTGCTATGGTGAGTTCAATCCTCACTGTTTGCTCTACCCATGTATCACTTTGTATAATATGTTCTCCAAGCATGTATTATACTAACTTTGCAATATTATTGACCCTGACCTGGCATCTCGGGTTCTGTTCCTTTCTCTCCATTGTAATGTAGCTTCCCTGTGTCTTTTCTATAAATACTTTCATCGTAATTGTTCTGATGAACTTTCCTCTATGGTACGTAGACTTTATGAATTTAAGTCCAGTACTAGATTGGTGGCAAGATTTCATCATTTTACAGTTGAAATGACTAGATGTAATTGTAATTTCTATGCTAACAGTTTTTCTCGTACTTCTCACTTGTGGACTCTTCCGGTTTCTTGATTTCCAGTCAAGTTTGAACTTCAAAAATGTTTTCCGCTAATATGAAGTTGAAAGATTATATCGAATCGATTGCTAGGTTTTCTTTTTTTTTTTTTGTTTCTTGCCCAAATATCTTACATATTTACATGTCTACCATCCATGCTTGCTTTGAATATTGCTGCCACATATAGTTTAGTGCTTCTGCTACATATTTAGAGATTCTTGATAAAATCCAAATAATCTGCAATGTTATTTGTCCTGACCTGGCATCTCGGCTTCAGTCCCTTTCTCACCACTGTAATGTGGTTTCCCTGTGCCTTTTCTATGATTACTTTCATAGTAAGTGTTCTGATGGACTTTCCTCTATGGTACCTAGACTTTATGAATGTAAGCGTAATACTAGATTTTGTGGCCAGGTCTCCTCATTTTACAGCTGAAATGGCTAGATATACCTAGTTCTTTATTTACATTGTTCAAACTGTTGTCATATTCACAACATTTTGGCTGTTGTATACTCTAGACGTCGAGTGATTGGAATTTTGAACTGAACCCTTTTTGTCCACTGGGGTAGGTTGTTCTAGTCCCACATGCCTCTTCTGGATCTCTCGGTTTCAGTTATTTCCCTTTAGTAACTCAACTCTCCAAGTCCTTGTTCACCTCTGCTGTGGCCAGAGATTGAACTCCCAACTCTTTGGGTCAAGTCACTCGATTACTTCAACCAACTTGAGGGCACATAGCCCAGTGGATAAGTGTTGGTTGACTTCTATGCTGACGACACAACCATTTACTCCTGCCTTGATAGGCTGATCAAGGTCAAAATGGCATCCGATGTCCAAAGCAACCTCAAGATCATTGTTAACTCTAGCAAAAGATGGCTTGTCACTTTTAAGGTCTCCAAAACTAATTTTTATTTTAATCATCTCCACATGACCCCTTCTGCCTTTGATCAGCATGGCTGATGCTAACCTCCAGGAAATGGACTCATTGGCGACTTGCTCTGGCTCCACATTTCTGCTGATATGAACTGGAATGACTTGATTGAAGCCATTTCTATGTGAGCTGCTATGAAAGTGGGTTAACTATTTAGAGTTGAACATTTTTCCCCAGAATCTATTTTATATATCTATAAATCTACCATTTGTACATGCTTAGAATATTGCTGCCACATATGGTCTGGTGCCCTTGCTATTTATCTTTTAGCTCCTTGATAAGATCCAAAGAATAATCTGCAATATTATTGCTCCTGATCTGGCGTCTCAGCTCCAGTAACTTTCCCAGCGCTGTCAGGTTGCCTGTCTTTTTTCTATAAATACTTTCATGGTAATTGTTCGGATGAGCTCTTCACTATGGTACTTAGTTTTTGAATTTCAGTGCAATCCATTTGTACTAACGTGGATGCTCCCCCACCCCCAGGGCTCTATCCTTGGTCCTATTCTATTGTTAATTTTAATTAATGACCTTCATGCTCTCAACTTGCCATCTACCCTTACAACAGAATAATTTACACCTGCTTTGATAAGTCTTATCAAGGGCAAAATGGCAGCCGATGACAAATACAACCTCGAGACCATAGTTAACTGGGGCAAAAGATGTCTTAATTTTAACGCCTCCAAAACTAAACTTCTCTTCAGTAATCATCTGAGAGACCCCTTTCTACCTTCCATTAGCATGGTTGATACTATCTCCCAGAAAATTGACTCATTGCGGTTTCTTGGGCCCATGTTCTCTGCCGATATCAACTGGAATGGCTATATTGAATCCATTGCTACGTGAGCTGCTAAGAAAGTCAGCTTTCTATGTAGAATGAGACCAGTTTTCTCTCCAGAATTTATTTTACATATCTATAAGTCTACCATTTGTCCATGCTTTGAATATTGCTGCCACATATGACCCAGTGCTCCTGCTATTTACCTTGAGCTCCTTGATAAGATCCAAAGAAACAGCAATATTCTTGGTCCTGATCTGGCATCTCGGCTTCATTCACTTACCCACCACCATAAGGTTGGCTCTCCGTGCTTTTTTATAAATATCATCATGGTAATTTTTGGGAAGAATTCTTCACTATGGCACTTAGACTCTTGAATTTAAGTGCAGTCTTTGACTGGCATCAAGATCTCATCAGTTTATACTTGAGTTGTCTAGATGTAGCCATAAGTTCAATGCTAACAGTTTTTCTTGCACTTCTTGCTTGTGGGACGCTCTTCTGGCTTCATGCTTTCCATCTAACTTTAATCTTCAAAAATTTAAATGTCTGTCAATTTGATCTACTTTCTCCTGGTTAATTTTCTATCCTCCTGGTTACTCTATCCTCCTGATTACTCTATCCTCCTGATTAGGATAAATCCTCCTGAACCCCCTCCTGATCCTATCCTCCTGATTACTCTATCCTCCTGATGAACTCCTATCCTCCTGATTTACTCCTGATTAAATATCCTGATTGAATACTCTATTGAAACCTAGTTCTATCCTCCTGATTACTTATCCTCTATTTTGTTCCTCCTGATTACCTATCCTCCTGATACGTCCTTCCTCTGAAAATAGCATATGATTACAATATCCTCCTGATTATATATATTTTCCTCCTGATTACTCTATCCTCCTGATATATCCTAATGATTACCTATCCTCCTGATTTTTTAATAACTGAATCCTATCCTCCTGATTAAACTGAATTCCTCCTGATATTTTCTATCCTCCTGATTACTCTTATCCTCCTGAAATGCAATCCTCCTGATTACTCTATCCCTCCTGAAGGTTTATCCTCCTGATTATCCTTTCGACATTTCTATCCTCCTGATTACTCTATCCTCCTGATTACTCTATCCTCCTGATTACTCTATCCTCCTGATTACTCTATCCTCCTGATTACTCTATCCTCCTGATTACTCTATCCTCCTGATTACTCTATCCTCCTGATTACTCTATCCTCCTGATTACTCTATCCTCCTGATTACTCTATCCTCCTGATTACTCTATCCTCCTGATTAGAAATAATCCAATTGATTAAACTCCTGATTTTTCCTCCTGATTTTAAAAGTCCTGATTAAAATCCTTTAGATTTTTCTGGGGAAATGATTACATTTATCCTCCTGATTGACTAGGAAACGTGATTATCTATCCTCCTGATTCCAGTGATTATCATCCTCCTGCGAAACTCTATCCTCCTGATTATTCAATTAATGACTTTATCCTCCTGATTACTAAGTAAATCCTAAATTTTTAAAATCCTAATTTGGGACTCTAATCCTCCTGATTCTCTATCCTCCTGATTACTTAATTTAGTCATGAAATATCATCCTGATTACAAAATCCTCCTGATTCAACTCTATCCTCCTGAATAACTGACAAAAAACATATGGTTCCTGAAAATAAAAACTCTATCCTCCTGATTCCTCTATCCTCCTGATTACCTTGATCCTCCTAATTGTATCCTCCTGATTTCAAAATCCTCCTGATAAACTTAATTTTCCTGATTACTATCCTCCTGATTATAGGCTATCCTCCTGATTAATAATTGAATTTCAAATTATATCCTTTAACGGTCCTATTTCCAGAAATCCTCCTAGTTAACTGTATGAATAATCTATCCTCCTGATTACTCTAAATTGATTACTTTATCCTCCTAAAAACCCTATCCTTACAAAAATGCATTCCACTTTAAAAAAACATTTTTGTTCCTTTTCAAATACCTCTTAAAAATACATTTTTTGCTAAATGATTTGATTATTAAAAAGAAAAAAAAAAAAAAATCTAATAAAACTTGAACCAAATAAGTTGAGAGGTTCAATACCTATTAAAAAAATGAACAAATTGAGATTTTTAAAAAATACCATCCAAATTGAAATCTATAGTAAAAGGCATGGCACATGGAACTAGAAAAAACCTACCTCAGTATTTGAAATAAAGGGTTCAGTAGAAAATTCGACACTAAAGAAAATGGGAAAATTTATGATGGATGAAATTTTATGTGAATGTGACAGAAAATTTCAAACAATGTCCAAACAATAAATAATTTTTTTTTTTCTATTAGGAATATTTTAAACAGTGAATGACAGAAAATTAGATATAACGCGTTTAAACAAGTCAAAACTTAATTTTCTTGGATTGATGACAGTTATTTGTAATGAATCAAACTAAATGAATTCTACCAATTTATTTACAAAAGACGTGCCATTATGATTAAAGGAAGCATTGTACAGTGATGATTTGGAACCAATGAAAGGAAATTAATATGATTCACTCCTGAACTTAAACGAAAAAGAGACACCTGAATATTGATATAAAAATTTTCATTTTAAAATCACATCATCCTCCCAACTTCTAATGCCAATTATCTTCGCTCAATTTTTTTTTTTTTTTTTTTTTTTTTTTTATAGAAAAAAAACTATTTTTCGCTTAGCATTTTTCTGTATTTTTTTCCTCTTGAAATCTAAATTCAAGTAGAAAATAATTCCTCTTGAATCGAGATTATTCTGCTATTTTCGATTCACGATTTCTGTTTTAAAAGAAATTTATCGTTCAAGAAGGTTTGATTCTAACTTCTTCAATTTTTTTTTTTTTTTTTTTTTTTTTTTTTAATGTAAAAAAAAAAAATGTATTTGA